ATTATAATTTTAGAATTGCAACCAAAAGTGAACATCACGTGCAATCACAAGTGTTGTTGCTCTGCTTCCATGTGAAGGAATGAAGTTGTTCAGGAAACAAAGCTATTTAAATACACCCCTCTTGAAAAGAAATTATACAGAGACTATGGTGATGGCATACTATGTTTAGTGCAGTAATTTCACACTGCAGTTTCTTTCAGTAGTGAACTTTATATTCTCCGAACTAAAGAAAAAAGTATTTTGAAGGAAGAAATAAAAAACTCTCGCTATCTAAATGGCCTATTTGGGATATACTTAATTAGGTATGTATTAAACTACTGATGCAGTAAGTTATAAATCTAGATCTCAATTTTGCAAAGCATGTGCTTTGTTTTAGGACTATGAATTACTGAAACATAATACCAAGTTAGACATTTCAGTCTTCACAACAACAAGCTGCTTTGAGGCAGCAAGGTTTCTCCTGTGTTTTCCCCAAAACCACATACTCAAACATTTGAGAAAAAAAAAAAAAAAAAACCCCACACATTTTCAGTGGAACATTTAACTTTCACGTTTAAAAACCAGAATAGCTCTTCCACATAAGTGGTAGGTAATACCACTATCAAATTTGGTTCACCTATATATTGGCACACTTGGCCAAATGAAAAAAAATCACACACTTTAAGGCTGCCTCCCCATAGATTTCTTCACATATTATCAGTTGAGTTAGTAGCAGCACCCCATCTTCACTTTACAGCTGCAATAGCTGAAAGGTTGTATAAAACTATTTACGGAAAAATAGCAAAAAATTTGAGTCCTCAACTCAATCTTTATGGATAGAGAAGCACACTAGGTACAACGGAAGCAAAAAAGTAGCCAAAATTACATTCAAATGCTTTTTAAGATATCAAGTCTGCTCTAAGGTTCCATACATTCCTCAAGTTTGGAGAAGCACAAGACTGTTGCATTCTATATGAGTTACAAGCTACCCAAGGACTCCTCTTGCTTGAGCTGCAAGAGGGTTTCAGCCACTCATCTTTAAGTTTTAGGGGTTTTTTTTGTTTCCAAAGCCTTGCTATATCAAAAACTGCAACAAGAAAGATTCCTTCTACATGGAGAAGGGGAGATTTCAAGGTCTTGTAATGTATGCTTCAAGCACACTAAAGAAACCAGTGGAAAAGACAACATTAATTTTGTCCCTGCACACTAACATTACGTGCCCAACTCTTGAGTTTGCCACACCAGTCAAAGTAAACTTGTCAGGTATGTGGCTACTTGTGCTGTGAGAGGATGCCTAGGAATACAAAAAGAAACAGAGATGCTCAAATTCTCATCATTATGCTACCAAGAGATGACTATGCAACAAAGTCTGTCATTCTATTATAATAACTGACAGGAAAAGTATCTCAGGTTAACATGTTTAGCCTCAAGTCCCACTTAGGATCCATGAAGTAGCTGAGTAGAGCTCTGCTCACTACAACTCCTCTCATTCAACTCATTTCTCAAAAAACTTAAGAATCTACATTATAACTTGTATCATTCTTAGATTAATACAAATTTTAAAACACCTAGTGTTATTTTTTTTATCTGGACAGGCATTCAATAATACTTTAAAATGACTGATACATCATTCTTGTCCAGGAGGGGCAGGGAACAGCGAGCATGTAACCCAAATTACTGAGATTTTGTTCTGGCACCAATTCCTAAAGATAAGGCTGGTCACATTATACATATGCATTGTAACAAACAAAATTAAGCCTGTCCTGGGACTAATTTCCTAAAGTTTGTATATTTGACTAATACTATAACCCATTTAACCTTTTTTTGGTGCACTTGCATCTTAATAGTTATAGGGAAAATAAATTGCAACTGAAGTATGGAACAATCAATTATATAAAAAAACCAATGGATTAGAAAACAAGTCAACAGAAGTAATTGGGGCAGGTGGTTTGAAATAATGTACATGTATTACAAATAGTATTGTGTTATATTAGCAGAAATACTAGTCCAAATACCATTCAAATAGATTTTATTTATAATTACAGGTGAGTCTCTATAGATTCTTTCTGCATTTAATTTAAGGCTTCTACACTAGGTCAGTTATTTTACTGTTAGCTTATAAACCCTGCTATAAATTACTGGCATCAGTATTAAAAAAAAAAAAAGAACAGCTAGATAAATCTGTTGAAACCACTAGTTTTGGCAAGTAATTTTGCAACAGACTAACAACAGCTTTGCACTCAGATTAGTGAACAGCAGAAAGAGACTTAGCAACATTTCTAAAGTAATGCAAACTTCTAACAAAATATGCCTTTATCTGCCTACAGTTTCATAAAAACTGTATATAACATTACTTTGTAAGTGAGATTCGCTTTTGCCCCTGGGAAGCGTAAAAAAAAATATATATATACACACACATGTATACTATGTACACACAGAAAAGAGCACATCTTTCCCCCACTGCATGGACACAGAGCTTGTCACACTCTGGGCACGCTTTGTTATCTGAATGACTGAAACCAGAAATTGTTTAATAAGGTAAAACCCAAAAACACCCTCTCCTAGATTAAACTGTTTATTTTAAAAAACCCTGTTTTGCCTCAAAATTATTTAAATGGTCATTAGACTAAGTACCAGGTTTTTTCCTCCTTGAATGTATTAATTTTAATTCTAGGGAGCATGTAAACCATACAAAACAGCACAAAAACGATCACAGGTATTGAACAGGAAGAGCACTGTAAATACACACCACAGAAGAATCTGAAAGTCATTTTTAGTAAGAGTTGTGGCTAAAAAACTTGGAATTCCTAGGCTCCTCTACAACGCCAATGTTATCTATGAGTAAACTTTGTAAAGAAAAAACAAAAGTATTTTGCCATGAGCTCTAGTCCTCCTAAAAAAAAAAAAAAAACTGTTTTCACTTCTCTGGTGTTTACTATTTAGACAGTATAGGCAAACTGAAGAACACTAGTAGATTGAATTATTGCTTTCAAGTGTAATACAGCTCCTATAAGTATCTGTCTTTATTCCTGAAAATTATTACAAGTGCTAACTTAACCAGAATGGAAGAAATACTCACCTGGTTGCATGTGTCTGCTAAAGAATGTATGGCTTCTGAAAACATACTTGCAGAACCCGTGTAAACCCAAGCAAGCAGCTTAAAGAAAAAGTTCAACCCATTTCTGAAAACAAAGAGAAGAAATAAGCTAAAGAACAGAATATTTGGTCTCTAATGTTTTCAGCAAAACCACAAGTGCTGTATAATCATGCATTACCTGCCAGCAAGTGGTGAAATCAAGTATCAGTTTAATCATTAGAGACCTGTACAGGCAGATAAGGTATACACATTTTCTGCATGGTTACTGTTTAAAAAGCCCTTTCAGCTAAACTGGATATACAATTTAACTTTCTAAAATCCTTAACTTCTGAGGAGTCCTGAACAAGTTACACTTCCTGAAAACTACTAAGACATTCACTACTCAGAACAACTAATTGCCTACCAGTGGGAGAATACAAGTCTTAACGATTTCCTTTTCTCTTTTTTCTGTCCTTTGCCTCCTCCTATATATCCCTTCCTAATAATGGAGTGCTAGGTTCCCCACTTCAATCTCAGCTTGGGCAATTCCCAGTAGGATACAAATGTAAAACAACAGACAGGAAGACAAGGCTGTCATTAGATTGTGCTATAAAAATTATCTACGGAACTTTTCCATTAAGATGTCCAGTGTGACTTGTCAAGTCTTTTTTAGGTTACGAGCTCACTGGAGTAAGCATTATGTTATGTTGTACAGAGAGAGGGACTAAAATCCGAATCTACATTCTCACTTCAAACATTCATTACCAGAATCAGTAGGTTAATTGTTACAATCATATTGCAAAGAAAATCAGACTAGAGAATTATAACATTCTACTCTTTTTTAATATATCTGAGTTTAGCTTATTGGCAATTTTTAAAAGTGTTCAAATGAAATTAAGTGTTATAGATATTAACAACATCTTGCAGTTGCATTTTTGAACAATCACATGCCAAGAAATTATATTTAAGTTAAAGGAAGCAGAAGTCCAACCCCTTGCCATACACCAAGTTATATAGTTGATTAAATAACATTCATTTCCAAGGTCACCCTTAAAGGTTTTCTGTGAGAGTATATCCACTTCTTCAAGCAAGAGGTAGCACTGTTTTCCATACCTCCTGCCATCCAAGGACCTGAACGTGCTTTACAATTTTTAATTTAGTCTCATTAACTCATGAGATGGTGAAGCATCACCATAATTTACAGGTATGTAGTAAAAAACAAAATGCATAAGTTAGCGGATAGAAGAAGAAAGGAAGGCTGTTGTAACACTAAACCATAATTTAAACTCCCTGTGTTAATTACAAGTTCTTCCAACTCACAGCGCAGTGCATCTTTAGCATAGAAAGAAAATGAAGTAAATTACAGTGGGATTCATGAGCACAGTCTCTTGACTTTTGTATTGTTCTTCTCAATGTTGTATTAATGGAGCTGGCAGCTTATCTGAAGGTACAATTCAGCTGTGGGGCCCCCACCTGTTCAGATGACACAATAGGCACTCAGCTGATATTTTATTTCACCCCCACGAATTCTGAATTTGTGGGGGAATTTGACATCCTAGAAATCTAAAAAGAAACAACACTAAGATTTTCAAATGTCAGGCCCAGCAAAATCAATCTGTTAATGATGTCCAGCAAGTTGGAGACATAGGATACAAAGTTGAAGAGTGCTACACAGGAAATAATCACAAAAACCTAGTGAGTCTATGAAGCCATCAAGGCTATTTGGTGTTTCCTGCCTGACTAGATGTTCACATCAATATAAGATGATAGATAAAAGTCAGTTCTGGAGGGAGGGTGAGAAAAAAGAGTCAAGTTTTTACTGCAAATAAAATATGTATTGCTTTAAAAAACAAATTCACCACTGCATTTGAAAATAATAAACCCTATGAAAGCCTAAATTCTGTTGAAGAAATAGTATGAAGATTTTAAACAGTAGAGGAAAAATAATCCTAAACCAGTAGATTCTGAGGAGGCAGCTGAAACACGCTGAATCAGTTTGAAACAAAGTTATCTTTTACATCAGTAACCACCAATTCAGAAAATATTTTCTTTATCGTACCAAAGTGATCTTAACTGACTGATGAGCGACCTCGTTTCTCTCTGACCTGAAAGAGTAGGAAATCTTAACAGAACTTAAACCAAAGCTAGGTATAATCTGCAAAAGATTTATTGTAAAGTTTTGAACATCATGCCGAGAAATAACAAAACAACCCACCCCACCTATGATTCATTAGGCAATTCTCTTGCTATTAAACTACTACTATACAGCATTTTCTAATAAGCCCCTCTTCTATACCTAGAAAATAAGCTGCTTCATTCAACACAAGTTTATAACTGTATTCTAAAGTCTCACAGGAGGCAGATATTCACCAACAAAATGGGGGGAAGTACTGAAACAGACATCTTCCTTGCTGTCACAAGTCTTGTCAATTGTAGTGTAAAGTCTAAATTTAACTGGTAACTTTAAAATGTACTGATACATAAACACAATCAGCCTTTCTTTGAAAAAAAAATCAAAAATACACTGTGCAAAAGTAGATCAAAATCAATTCTTCAAATTAAGGTTCCTAATTTAACAGTTTAAATCATAATTAAAACAAATTCAAATAAATCTATCCTGACTGAACTGTAAACTTTAAACAAAATTAAAGGGCATTAATACTTGCATTTACATATTTATCATTCCAAATCTGTTTCAAAGACAACCACCTCAAAACCCCAAGATGTTTATGTGGAACAGGAATTATGGGGAACTGAGAAATATATACAGGGAATGGTACCATCATGTGATTGCCCACTTTTTATACTCTACCTTACAGCATAAGATAATGGTCTATAAGAACCTGGCCTGACTCACACAACCATCCCTGTCTACTTACATAAAATATTTAGGCTTTTGAAGAAAGGACAGTTAAAAAAAAAGCCAAAATTTAAAAAAAAAAAAAGCCCAAAACAAACAAAAAAAACCCAACCAAAATGTTCAGATCCATTATGAATCTATGGGGAAAAAAATCTTCTATTTAGGCTCTAGAGTTGAGAACTAAACACTTTTTAATCACATATATTTCCAAAGAAGCAGTAACATTACTAACATCCTTGACCAGTAGTATTTTTTAAAAAAAAATATATACCGTGCAAACTTTGTATTGTTTAAAAGGTAAAGTATTAGCATGACAATGACACTTCAACAATGCCAGACTCTGAAGAATGTTTTGCTAATAATAGATCATTCCCTTTTTGATAAAAAACACTGCCTTCCTGTATTTCTCTATCAGACCTTGAAAGTTTGCCCTCGCACACAGAATTCTGTGAACATGGAGCGTAACAGTGCAGCTGGTCTATACCCTCACACGTGGATCCATAGATAAGAACTCTGCTTTTGACTGAACCACATTTCATCCTCAGTGAGGAAGCCTCAAGTTTGTGAAAAGTCTACCAAATCATTCCAGCCAGAGAACTTCAGACAGATTGGCCTTTCTTGATCCAAAACCAGAAGCCACTAAAAATCATGCTGATGTTAAGAAGATCAGGGCCATGAACAAAGCAGCACTGATGGTGGCCCTGACAAATCTCTGAAAAGTCATCAGGTATTTGAGAGTCACAAGAGATCCTTTAACTTCTAAAAAAGCTCCAAAAAGAGATGACTGAGCAATACAACAGGCTCTACAAACTTCTGCTGGCCTGGTTGCCAGGCATTCATCTATAAAAGCATCTAATCATCCAAAAGGTATTTATGAAGTGAAGAGAGTGCAATGTTTATAGCTATACCCTATTTACAAAGCAGGAGGAAAGGTCTGGTTTTTCTACATCGCTGTAAAAGAAAGTGAAGGAGGTAGAAGTGACCATGCAATCTTCTCCATACCTTTTTTTTTTTTTGTTAGAAACACCCATACTAGCAGTTCTTATATGTTTCTACTTTCAAAAGCTCTGAATAGTTACTAGTAGAATACTCAATAAAGAGGGAGGTTTTCAGTCAAATGGGCTTTGCGGGGTTTTTCTCCTAATCGAAAAGCATACAGTTTTGTAGGAAAACTCAGAAAAGTTATTTCCTGCTCAAAATGTTGTTTCCTGTGCCAAAAAAGCATTTTCCCTATGTTTCTACTTTGCTCCCTTATATCAATAGCGTCTTGGCAAATACCTTTTATAAAATCAATTTTATTTTAAAAATTCACAGGTTTTACGGCAAATAAATTTTGGCCATTATTTCCTGAGAGGAACTCAACACATTTCTGTTTATTTGATGCCAGATAGTCTCTGTGTTCATTTGCTTTAATTCAGGATCATTAGTTTAGTTTCGTTTCATTCAAATTTGTAAAACATGTGAAAGGCAAAAACCTCCTAACTTATCCCCTTTTCTGTTAGAGAGGAAAAGAGTTGAATAACAGCAGAAAGATGAAAGTTAATTCTTTTCTGTTGGTTATATACAAGATCGTTTAAAACATATGAAAAGCTTCCTCTCAAAAAGCAGCAAGAAAAAAGGCCAATTTTAAATGCCTGCCTCTCCATATCCTTCAAAATTTTATTTTTTACTTTAGTAAGACAGATCAACTTCAAAAAATTCGTTCTTCTCTGTGCAGAGATATATTCTATCCCTGATCTCTATATAAATGAATGTATTTACTTAAACTGTCTCCCATCAACAATGAATAAACAAATCTATTACCTTCAGTTACAGAGACACAGGTATCTTTAGCTTGAATAGACACTGTTCTCATTTCCAGGATAATAAAAATAAATTGTTTTATACTTGCATAAACAACACTTTTTTTTTTTTAAACTTACATGCAAATAGCTACCATTACCACCTTCCCTGGTCCCTTGAAAAACATAGCTGCTGCACTGGAGCGTGGCTACACAAAGAAATAAGAGATTATTAAAATAAAATAACCAAATCTTGACCTCATGAAGGACCTACCATAAAAATTATCACATAAAAACTCTACATTGCCCTGTATTGCAAAAGTGAAGCTACAATCCTTGAAACCTACTTATTTACTACTGAATGCTCACCCAAACTGCAGTTGGGTCTTACACATTTCTACAAATAGATAAACAACCAGCAGGGGCCACTGCATCCATAAGGACAGGAGCCAGCTGTGCAGCAAAATGATTAAGAAATCATTCTACCATAGCAGAACACCTGGATCTAGGGAACAGGTCTGCTTAAGCAAAGAAGAAGAGCCAAAAGGACACAAAGGAAAGTGTTAACGCTATGGGTTGGGTTTGGTTTGGTTCTCCCCTTAAGAAACCTATTTCATTTTTTTAAATGAACAATATGCTTACTATACATGTTTATAGGCTACAGATGAAATCACAACTACAGCTGCAATTTTGTTAATAAGAAGGCAATTGACAAAAAAAGACACCTTACTGGTAGATTACACTGCCATAGTAGGAACCCATTTAAACTGGCATCATAACTTTTACCACTGTTTCACAGTCAGAGATAGATCTGGTATATTACAGTTCAAATATATCTTTCAATAATATTCAGTTAGTTAAGCTTATGCAACTGTTTCACAACTTTTTCCTTTAAAAGGTGTCATAGTACATCTCATCACATTTTTCTAGCCAAAAAAACTCTAAAACATCTCTTACCTTAGTATTTCCAAAGAACTCCCTGTATTCCCTCAACAGCCTTTGGTTTCTAAACAGATCTGCAATACAAAATTGTTATTATGAATACTTACTAGCAACCAGTAGTTTCAGGAATTTTTTTTTATTTTTACTCAGCAGCTAACTTCTAGTAAGAGCTACATGGTCTTATTGAATTAAATCTCTTAAAGAGATCCTTGTTTGTGAAAAACTCGTCTCCTAATACTGTTAATCAGAAAGACATATTGTTATATGCTCACGCCAAATACAATCTGTTACGATCCTCTACACTGTTGCCATTTCTACAAAGAAAGGATGATACACAGGGGGAAAAACTCAAAATACACTGTTATGGCTATCTTGCAATGTCCCTGCACCAAAAAAAAAAAAAAAAATAATTCTTTATAACCAAATCCAGGCATCCTACTGCCCACCTCCCACCCCTTAACCCTTTCTGCTGCAAAGGAGAGGAGGAAGGATGTTTCAAAGCAAGTCTCTTAAAGTCAGTATTTTTCCATCCATTAATGATGTTCAGTAACTTCAAAATAAACATTGGTATACTACAGTATCTGGAAGCTGTAGTGCTAGATTCTCCCCTACAAAGTTACACAAAATACATTGTACACAATAATTTAAATAGATCAAAACAGCCAGTGGAATACAAGGATAGTCTGTAAAAAAAGGGAGTTACCACACCAAGTATACAATGTTTCAATATGCTATTAGGACTAACAACTTTTTAAATCTCATTTTTCTAATTATGTCCAAGAATTATTCTGCTGGTCACTAAAAATGTTGAAGCTACTGAGTGCACTCTTGGTACAAACACTTACAGGTACCTTAACAAGTGCCTGCAGCTCCAGCCTTTTTACTAGGAAGGTGTTCCAGTGGCACAACTGTTTCAAAACAAAGATCTCTAATTTTAAGGTGCATAACTGGAATAAGTACCTTGAAGCAATATTACCTCTCCTGCGATTTTAACTGACTAGATAAATCAAAATTCATTACAAACTACTGATTTGACTGTACCTGTTATTGATAATACCAGCAAGGATGACAAAAATAACTTTAAGCAAAAAGATGATTTGGGGGTGTTTCCCCCCTTCTGAAGAACAAGGGTAAGCTGAATCCATTTCAGAGGAAAAATAAATTAGTAAAGGTATGGTATAAAGGTTGGCAATGGGTTTAAGTCTTTCAAAAATTTTCAATTAAAAAAATCCAAAACCATTGAAGATATTAATTATAATCTAAAAATTGAAAGCCCCCAAAAAAACATATGACTATAGATCTTGACTGAACATATATTCTTCCTCTATCACATAGATGACGTCGTAAGATAGTAACAGACTATATCTGCATAGATAATAATGTGTTACTTGAACATTATACCACAAAGCCTTGTCAAGAACTGCCAATTCCAAATTTGTGTGTTATCAATGAAGTAACACACCACCTAGCAGATTTCTAACAATCCTACTTTGTTGTTTACATTTGAAGTTATTTGAAAACTCTATACTCACTTTCTCTGTACTTGATCTCTGCCTCTTTACGTCGTTTTCTTTCTCTAGCAAGAGCCTCTGGACTACCCCAAACTTCAAGAGACCTGCACAGAGTAAAAGCAACTTAGCAATGGTTCTATTTATGCAACTTCTTTTCAGTTTGACTCCATTATAAATGCCTTTCCTGAAAGGAGAACATCACATCATTCTTTCCGATAAGAAACCACGCAGATTACTTTACAGAATAAAAAGCTAAGCAAGAGGAGGCTGAGGACAAGCACTTAATCTTTGGACACATGAAACATACCCACCGACTTTATATACACCATGTGATTATTACAATAATGAGGATATAAAATGTGTTCAGATAGAAAATGGAAAAACGTTATTGCCCTTTTACATTGTAAACCTGACTTTTAAAAAAGTTCTCTGACATATAATCCATTTTAAATGATCCAAACATACTTCTTCATAAAAGTGTTCTTACTTTGCCTCTACATCCGATCTCAAGTACACAGTGAAAGTCTCAGTGTCATCATGGGGACTTCGTCGTTTAATTTTCCTCAGCTGGTCTAAATCACTAAAGAAAGCAGAAAAACAGTTTAACACAAGAAAATGTTTGTATTATTCTGATTTTACTTTATGTCTGGGTGATCTTCCACGCTTTTGATATTATTAATTTGCAGTACAAAAAACCTGAAGTTGTTTACTTGAGCCAAACAGATGCGCAACATGAAGCAAGCGATTTCTAGGATACTATTGAAAAACTACTGTTTTCCACACTCAGAAGTTCAAATCATGTCTTCACATCATGAAATATTACACATGGAAGACAAAGTATTTTTATCATTGAATGATAAAACATCCAATTAATGATCTGCATGTAATTGATAATGTGCACAAGTGCTAAACAAAAGGGTTCATGGCTTAACATCTCTAAATGGAAATCAGAAGTCACGCAAGATGAAAAGTTAAGAAATTTAACCCCAAAACCTACACACCCAGCACAAGTTACAAAAGGTTGGATATAACAAAACTACTTGAGAGAATGGATAAATTTCCTGGCTGAGCTATAAATTAGGGCATCTACACTGAGAAGCATCACAGATTTCTTTTTTTTTTTTTTAAATACAACTGAGCATTTTATTTTTAGCCCAATTATCTGTTCCTTTTTTTCTTTTTTCTTTTTTTTTTTTCCTCTACATCCCCCTCCCCTGCTTTGGTCAATCCAGCAAAACTTTAGCTAGTTATTTCGCCGCACAAGCCAGTTATGATAAAAATATGGCAGAGGACTAAGCATAATTTGTCACTGAATTTTCACCAAAGACCAAGTCTGGTGACATACACTATATGTAAAAACTTGGAAGGCACAGTGACAGAATAAAAGTTATAAACAAAGCTGCTAAGCCTTTAGATTTAATATGGGTCATACACATTTCATACATGAAATCTGACAGACACCTCAACTATAGCAATACTCAGTAAGACCTGTCGGCAGGCATGGCACATAGTAAAAGGCAGTAAATATGAATCAAGTAACAACAGTTAGGTTACAATGAACCACCTTATATTTTATTCCAAACTACAGACCTCGTGTAACATTAAGTTTCTACTCATCTTTTAAAGGCATTCACATCAAACCATCATGACCCCAAAAATGCTGAAGAGTTCTTTGCCATTCCCCCCTAGGACTAGCTGCTCTAGAGATGAACTCCCCCCAACTAGACTTATAGCCATGTAAGTACAAATAAATTACTTTAAGAAGCAACTACAGAAACAAGCAAACTAAGTGCAAGTTCCTAATCTACTGTAACACTAAGTAAGCAAGAACTAACTTCAGCCACTTATGATTGCATATACCACATTTAGAAAAAGCTGCTGTGCTAAATCACTCTACAGTCACTATTACTTTGGTAGCACATACAAACATTCACAATCTAAATTTCAACTCAAACCTACCATACCTGGATTTAAGGCAAAACTCATTTATTGCTCTGACTCCAGTGATGAAGTTATTCTGTGTGTATTTTGGTCCATATTCTCTTTTTTTAAGGACTGCTTTCACTTAAAAACAGAAATAGATAAGCAAGTTAAGTCACTTATGGACTCCACAGCAGAAACTTCAAAAGGTAATTCAATCTAGTGTCATATCATCACACCTCTAAGTGGAGATCCGAAAAACACTGCTTGCCAGTGAGACAGAAAACTTACAGTGAAGAGAAAGGAACATTCTTCATTGTGGAAATGAGTCAAAGTAGAATTATTTACCTCCAAAAATGCCACTTGCTAAGTTGTAGTTCAGGGCTCTCAAACATTCCATGTACTTAACTGTCACTGCCAGCTACCTCTCCAACTTTGATGTCAGAGATGGTGTTTGGCTACTAAGATAGCATCCAAATATAGCAAACCCTTGCTCTAGCAACTGAAATGGCAACATAGAGCTCCGTTTCTTTTTTCCCAATACTTAACCAATTCCACCTTCCGCAGATAAGATCTTTGACCTTTGCAGACCATATAGAGAACTGAGACAGACTGTTCAGGTCATTTTCCTCAACTATTTCTTTCAAAATTAGCACACTTAATATTGGACATTTATAACAAAAATATACATTCTTTATTTATAATGCTGTGTATATCTAGAAGATGTACTCTCATCACATCAGTTTTTCATGCACATGGAAAAGAACACCACACCTATTCAGAAAAAGAATAAATGTAATTTTAAATTTAAGCCATTATTTCCTGCTTTGTATGTACATAACTTCATCTTATTTTCAAATGTAAGTCACTATACATTCACTTCCGTTAAAAACATTACGCACATTGGAAGAAGAGTTACAATTGCTGAAGGATGTAACATTAAAGAACACAACTGAAAACAAAAAGCTCAAATTCTGCAAGCAAGAAGACACGTGAACTTCCTGCGATCACAGGACTGTTATAATTTCTATAGTTAGCCCAGAACTTCTCCTTAAGTCACAGAATACTTACAGAAAGATACTGCATTTAAACACTGTAAGAATTTTTTCCCTAGAGTTCTACATTGTCTTTCTTCTGAGTTTTGAAAGCTTAAAGGCAAAATATATTGCTTGACACTCCCAACAACCCACTAACACTACAGATGTCAATATTTACCATAATAATCTGATTTCTGTCATTCAGTTTGAACTTAAACAATTGTTTTAAATACTTGAGTAATCATATTCATCCCACAATGATCCTGTGCAAAGGTGACAAAAAATTAGAGATTTCCTAAAAACAGTCCATCATTTACTAAGGTTAGAACAGGATGAACATTTTTAAACAAGAAGAATGCTTCCCATCTTATTTGAGAGAGACATATATCCAAAGTGTGTTAACCTTAGTAAAAAATAACTTGTGGATTTACCAAACACTTACTAATCCACCTTTCAGAAACACAAGTAAATCTCACTAAAAGAAAATACTATGCTGCAACGTACAATTGGTTGTACCTCAACAATCCTAAACCCTAGTTCAAATAACTGTATAAAATTGGCAATAAATATGGGGGGGGGGGGGGGGGGGGATTTCCAAGAGGGTAGAGCCAAATAAAAGATGATGTAAATAAAACACTTTAAATAGCACAAATATTTAAGATTAGTGATCCTTAAAAAATGTTACAGCAGCATCTGAAGACTAGAATTCCACTTTCTAAACACTATCAAAAACTTTAACATAAACATTCTTGCTTGCACATCTATAATCTACAGAAGCAAAACTCTCTTCTCACTGAAAGATATATCTATTTTTACAATTATTTCACAGTCTATCTAATTTCTCCTAACTTGTATGATCTCCCTGCATGCATACACTAAGTGACAACAGACACAAAGAAACTGACATAAAGGACGTAGACAAAATTGTGCAGAAAATATACATAGAGAGATACTGATCTCACGTTGTTGCTGACAAGTATTACGATTTGATGTTTCTTTAAATGTGGGGAAAGACAGGAAGGAATCTTCATACTGTTTATAGCCTGCTGAGTCACTTTCACTCAAGAGAATTTTTTTGACAGAGTATAAAGAGAAATGGCGATATCTATTTTGACCTGAGTGATCAAAAGCACAGGAGGTTTTTAATAGAATATTTCTCACAATAACATAATAGAAAATACTAGAGTGAAGATGGAGTGAAATCACGTCATGATAAATTAAAAATATGAAAAAGTAATGCTCTTTATTTACTTCCGTTTTTAAATAACGTTAACTAAAGACAAAAGCATGTATTTTTTACAAGCAGAAATGGGAACATTACAGGACTCAGATTAGGTAGTTCATGTGGTCAAAATATATTTAGAAGCAACACTGATTAGATTAACTCAGTAATAAGAAGGAACAGAGGAAGACTTAGAACAAGGAACAGGGGAAGATCAAGTATTCAGCTTAGCCACACTAAATCCAAGACGGTGAATGGACATGCCTAAAAACATGCAAGGAGGACAGACTGTAATAACAGATAAGAAAAATTACTCTTTTCCTGACAAACTCATCAGCTTAAATGAAACAAAAACAGACATAGAAGAATAATTAGAAGGAATATTGCTATATTTGATTTTTCAGCAATCATTTTCAAACAACTGGGTACCAAAGTTGGCATACAAGTGTGTTTTAAAATGTTATTCACATAACTTGTTACACAATTGAAGAGGAACCACAGTTTCCCTGCACATATCTTTTTTTACTACTAGCAGACAGCGGTGAAGTTTCAATACAGGAAGTATTTCTTTACCTTTTACTTGGATTGGCTCTTTAAGGAAAGCCTGTTTTTGACCTGCATTGCTCGTATCTTGTCCTGTAAAATAAAAATAAGGGTCACTGTAAACATAGAACTATCTATTTTTCTTTTCAGTAAAGAGTTTGGTGGTTGACATAACAAAATAAGAACATATCCTAATATTGCTTTCCATCCTTACAATTAAAAAACATTGTTGTTTGATTTCCAACATTTAAAACTCTCAAAAGACAGAAACAGTAAAAAAATAAGTAACAAAATAAGACATTTAATATAGCATCGGTCAATAAGCTCCTAGCAGCTTGCAACATACTTCAAAAAGTATCCTCAATTTTAAAAAATATTTTAATAGTGTAATTATAGTTTGGGGCCAGTTGTATGCAAAATTTTTTATTAGTAAATATAATGAATTCTATATAGTTTATGGCTGCTGATCACCTAAATCTCACCGAGCTTTAAAGCTGTAATTTTAAAGAACTGAAGCTTTTTCACTTACAAAAAGTTAGCTCCTTAAAATACGGAATATTTAAATTAAAATCCACAATGCCTGTGTCACAAGCTGGAGTAAGAATGAAAACAAAGTATTTTAGCTGGTTTTGAAATTTGAGTCTATGACTTGATAAAAAGCCAGTAAAATATCATTTACAGTACCGTTCAGTGAATCTTAATATTTAGAAAATAATAAATTCCAGTCATTTTGGTGACATTTTTAGAAATCAGAAGTACTACTCAAAAATACAAACAACTATTGCATCCTTATCTCATACATCTCAACATAGCTTTCAAAACAAAAACCTTATGACTCTAAGATGTCAAACTAACATATCCACTAATACTGTCTAACACTGGAGGTTTGCCACACATCCACAGTCATTAACAAAATTAAAACTGATCTTACTGAAAGCAATATGCAAAACAAAAAAAGTTTTTTCAAGCAGGTTTTTGTTAATTAATGAGATACTCCTAGCTTAACATGCTACTCAAATTACTCAAAGGTCAGATATTCTGGAAGCTTGGACTACATAACTGTCTTTTCATCAGGCAATTAGTTATTGCCCTAACAGCAACTCAGGGCTAAGGCTATGCAATAATCCAAGTATACTTTCTTGGAAAAATAACACTTATAAACTTATGAAACTGATCTTATTATACAACAAATAAGGCTGGACCACAAATAACTAGCATTCCTAAAACAGTCATCCCTATCAGTTATTGTTTGACTTTAAAACAAAGCAAACAACCCTCTGCTGTTCCTTTCCTTTCTTACTGGTTTAAAACACCAGGTGGCCGATCTAAGCTAAGATTGCTTAGCAAAAACTGAGTAGTAGCTTCTTTTCAGAAACTCTGCATGCAATGACTTATGTCATCAAAAGAAATATCACCAAAACTATTTAACAAAATATTGGGTCATAAGATTTTGGGAGCGGGGGGAAGGCACAAAAATATCAAGATTTACATCTACGCACAGAGACCACATCTGGTACCCTTTTAAAGTTCATTACCTCGGACTAGACACTGAACAAAATCACAGTGCATCAGTGAGGAAAAAAAAATACTGAACAATTCACAACTATTGTTTTTCAGATAAGCAGAGGTTGATATGATAGAACTTTCAAGATGAATACATTAATATTTTCAGTATCGCATTAACAGGAAAAGCATTTCCCAAGTTTACTGATGAAGAAATGGAGGTCCAAAAGAGATCCATTATTTGCCAAATATTAAGTTACTGGAAAAGTATGGGAATCTTTACAAGTAGTATATTACCTTTTCAGAATTCTACCAAACTACGCTTTTTTTTTTTTTTAAATAAACAGTAGTAATATGTCCACAACACAAAAGAACAGTCTACCCATCAGGTCCCAGAAAACACTCCAATATGAAGGTGCATGTAACAATACTCATGCCAAAATAAACTTCAAAGCAATTGTTCATCTATGCACAGTATCTCTAGGCTGCAGTTTCATACACATTTGCATGTGTCAGTCCCCACTTCCCCCCCCCAAAAAAAAAAAATAAAGGTAAGTCTCAGTGTGTCCATGTGGTGCAGCTCCACTCGAGGCTTACTATGAGGCAAGGCTGGCAGTGTCTCTCCTCCAGCCGTTTCAGGACATACTGAGCAGGATCAGCCTATTGATCCGCCTGGACCCTAGCTCTGCAAAAGAAGCAAGCAACTAATTTTTCACAAAACAGGCCTAAACATCATTAACCCCAGCAGAAAAGAGGGAGTAATCAGATAGGAGCGGGAGAAGGTGGGAAGACTCCTGATGACAATCAACAATTCTATAAACTTCAAGCAATCATGAAAGCAATAGTGCTACACTATCTTCACATGTCCAATTTTTAACTGTGCATTAAGAACTCAGAAAGTACCAACAACTACAACTGGCTCTATAGTCTTTCACTGTATTCAGGCAGACATTCTTCTGCAAGAATCTTGCCCTCTAGCAACCATCTTCAGCTCAAGACTTTCCAGAAACATAAACGGTCTTAAGGGTTATCCTCTTCTCACAGACTTAAGAAACAATACTTAATTTTAGAACAACATTTAAGATCACTTTTGTACTTTCAAACATCAGAAAAGTAATACTCTTAGCTGGCTATAATTACTAGCTTTTAAAGACTAGCTTTTAAAGACTGCTGCAAGCCTCAAGGAATTTACAAGTTACTAAAGAAAGAATGAAAACCTGCCAGCCTGACAATGAAGAGAAGAAAATTTTCTTTAGTAGACCACCTAGTTTTAGACAAAAGCACACAGAAAGGGAGCTTTCACCTTAAAAAGTGTTTGTTATTTGTTAAAAAGCACAGTGGTCTTCCAAACATGTATCTGTGCAGTCCTATACTTAATAAGTAGAAAAAGTAGAGGATGCTACAATGGAGCAAGGACAAGACAGTTCTGAATTTCACAAGCACCTAACTAGCACAAGATTGACAATCAAAGGGAACAGCAAGGAGGGTTAGGTTATGTCATTATCATCAAGTGTTTAATGTGAATGCTGCAGTTCTGACAATGTCAGATTAGAAAGCTCTAGCAAATGAAACAGCTCAACCTTCTTTACCAGTCATCTATAGCGTGACCTGGAGAAGTCACAGTGCTCAGTATTCACACTCATTCAATCTTTATCACTAATTCATTTCACACAACAAGCCTGAAATACTACAAAAAGAATTCAAGTAAGGAAGCAAAGTGGTAAAAGACAAGTACTACATTCCATTTCTTCTCCTGTAAGTTAACTAATCCCTTCTGACATCCCCATCTTACCATCATCACCTTAAATTTGATTACTCTAAACTTAAATCCTTTAAATACTGGAACGACAAATAAATTTCAGCATTCCTATCTGCTAATGAACTTGAAATTTACATGTAGATGTCCGCAAGCAACAAATACTAAGAATTCTGCAACCATAGTATCACACAATCTGAAAAAAAAAAAAGTCATCAATTGTTAGATACATGAAGTTTTTACATGTATAAAAATACTCTTTCTTTTAACTTAGTACTACCTGTTCCAACTTTATGCAGGGTTTCTTCTGAGGTTGATCCATTTCTGTCTTCTGATCCAAGATCTTTTTTCTGACCATTGGAGGTATAAACTCTCACCTGACTGATCAACTGCACAGGCAGACGATTGCATGGTATAATATAAGACAGACTCCCAGTTTTCATTGAAGCTTGCCATCCTAATAGGAGGAGGAAAAAAAAGATGTTACAGGCAACCATTTTGGAAGGAAAAAAAGAAGAGAAAGCGGTCCAGCTATACCAGCATAAGTTATGGAAAGTTAGCTTTTAAGTACTGATCTGTGCTTATGTTACTCATGTTTAGGATAGGAATGACAAAATGGGAGTACACAGCATGCTTTCGCTGCCTCCCTTCGAACGCCCACTTTTAAACTTCATTCTAATGTTAGGGGGTTTTCCCCTACAATCTGGTATGCACTTTTTCTAAAGACCTCTAGATGATCTTAAGGGGGGGGAAGATAAAAATCTGATAAGATTGGCTGATACATTAAGTCCCATTCTAGTCATACTGCCTCAAAATCTTTAAAAAACAAGTACCGATAAAAGAACAAATACAGATCACTACAAAACTATTAGTCTGTGTTGTCATTTCATTTCACTCTGTGTATGCTCTGTACAAACCACAGCTTAGCAATTAAGAAAAACTGAACTGTGTGTACTGCACATTAAGAGCAATTTGCTACAGAAATTATGTTGAAAAGCACACAACATTGTATGAAACATTTTATGCAAAAGAATCTTAAACTTTACAACGGACAAATTACAAGATAAATACATTAAAAAGCCTATTGAGAAATCACCCTGGGTAGGCAATCTTGAGTTTCAAAAGACTAGCCAAAAGTAGAGTTGTATGCAGCATAAGCCAACCTGTATTAGCAACCAGTTTCTTTCAGGCAGCACAAGCACTTCTGTAGAGAGGGTATAGAACTCCTCCAACCAGAAATGCAACAGGAAAGCTAGCTGCTTTAGAAAGTACTCATTAAAAGAATAAAAACGTTTTAAAAAAAATTAACCAGTGCTGGTAAGTCAAGTCATACACAGCATGACTAATCATATATGAATAATGCACCTCTCAACAAAGTGATACTATTTTATAAAACTGCTTATTCCAGAAAAGACTCCACAGCTTTCCTTTTATTTAATCCTCTACAGTATATAAGCACCTGCAATGTGTCCATGCACCAATTTGAACCTTAGAGAACAACAACTTCACCAAAACAAGTCAGACAGGCCCTTATTGACTATTAGTTATTGCTAATGTGACAAAAGCCCTGAAAAATCAACTCAGCACAGCCCAGTGAACTTACTGATTATGACTCATAAAAGACTACAATAAATATATGGCATCACATGAGCAGTGTTCTTGCCCAAACTTCAGTGATATTAGAGCAGCTGAAAAAGGAAAATGTAATCAGCATGTTTAGAGGACTTTTTTCCTACTAATCCATACAAACACAAAAAACCATTAAAGAAAAAGCTGATTTGCTGCAATTCAACCATAAGCAACTATACCGGTCAGAATTTTAACCTCACGGGATCTGCGGCCTAAAGGAAAAGCCAGGGCTCACTTCTCAGACCAACACAACTCCTCTAAGACTGCGCTTCATTTTACACAGTGACTGCAAACTTCAACCCCCAACACGGGCGTGACGTATCAGTTTTACGTAAGACTGGGGCTGACAGGGCAGCAGGCCTACAAAGGGCGTGTGAAAATAGCCGCGATAAGGCATTACGTTCGTCAGGATACGCCTCGCCTACTCAAGCAGCTACGACCTAAACACTTCCCCCGTTTTAAAGTCGGTACTCGGAAGGCAGCCGGCGCTCTCCGGCGGCTCCCGGCCCGGAGATGTTCCGCAGCCGGGGCAGTATCACCGC